ATGAATTAAACTGGAGTAGAATATGTTTTACTAAATTAGGATGACAACTTCGACCCAATAATCAAATTCAAATCCTTCTCTAGGATTTTTTTTGGCGGATTACATTTACTATTTTTATGCTTTTTAGTGGGTACATCTTCAACCCAATAAATTTACTTGACATTTATGTTTTTTAGTGAAGTATATTTAGCATTTTTATGTTAAATTTACCTATATCCTAAAAAAATAATAAATAAATAACGTATCCCCAGCGTGTCCATGTCCTAGTTTTTTAGAAATTGACGTATCGCCGTGTCCTATCGTGTCCGTGTCCGTGTCCGTGCTTCTTAGGCTACTATTGTAGCAAACTGGAATCCTGCCAATTCCAAGTTCTTAAGAATGCCTTTCAACAATATACATAGCCCAAAGTATTGATAGTTAGCTCTCCATCTTCAGGTTAATTTTATCTATCTACATTGTTGGCATCTAAATAATGTAGGAACCACCAAATAAACTAATAAAATAAATAAATAGTAATGTGAATGGATATAAATAGAAGTAGTATTCAGTACTAGTTTTTTCACACAAACTACGTACCATCAACGAACTTATGAACCACAGAATTCTGACACAAGGCAAACTAAGTTTAAAATAACTCAGTTAAGAACTGAGATGCAGCTTTCAAAAATCAAATTTATGTACAGTCAGCTACCCATAATTGGAGTTGAAACAGAAAATGGGAGGAATTGTTTCTACGACATAGACTTAGGTATCGCAAAAGATCATGTAATTGAATTTCGAAAAAAACAAATTGAAATTTAATTTATCCTATAACATTAAGACTTCAGAGTACCTTCTGATGTTGGCGTTTTGATTCATCACAGATCCAACTCATTTCCAATTCGAAGTCCTTATCCTTCGCCTCATCATGTACTCCATATATACTGCACACGGAAGTAACAAAATAAGGTTAACATTCTAAATCAAGCATTTGTTCCAAAACAACTACTAGGTCAATTGTTTTAGCAAAGCCAAAACAACTCAAAAGTTACTCACATCTTGGCTACTTCAATGACCCCTTGCCGACAAGACAGTTCAGAGAGGTTCAACTTCTCAATTTCCCTGCCATTGCATTGCTAACACATCAGAAACATCACTTAAATTTTTATGAATGTTAGCATACGTCGAAGTAATGTAATATCCAAAGGTGGTCAGAAATTGTATATGTTTTCTTAATATATCCAAATGTCAAATTTAGAATTAAAATTAGTAGAATAAAATTCAAGTGTATGGGAGATTTTCTTTGCAGAGAGTTGAGTAATTAATAATAGACTTGTATGAACTATTTTCCTCCATCCGTAAAGTCATGGTAAGAGATGATAATTCAATYTTACAGCTTCTTAAAATTCTGGGAGTTCATTATTGCTTACACAATCGCTTAACTATGAATCCCCTATAAATTGGTCAGTGAATTCGCAATGTAGCAAGGAGTTTATAAAACTAAAACTACAAATATGAACCTAGTCTTCCCAAAATTATGAGGATTCCCTTATTCGTAATGAAGGCTATGCATGTATCTCCTACAGAAATTATCTTTAGGCAGCTGTCTGCAGGTTATGGCTTCCCTCTTAAGGGCTTTTGCTTACAGGATGGTTTTCACTGATTGAAGTAGTCAAGCATCCATGATCCATATTTTGGAGAACTTATTATCTTTAAATTCAACCAAAGTAAATTAAATTAGATAGCAACTAAGGATTGATCTCCAGTCAATCCACAACAAGAAACATCATGCCAATAACAAGGCTCTTATCTTACGTTTTTGCAGCTTGCCTACCCTTGCCGATTGCAGCACCATAGTACCTCTAGAAAAAGACCATAAAAAAAATGTCAGTTCGTATAACAACCACCATGTACATAAGTAGTTTACAGTCATGGAACTAAACAACGGTGAAATTTAAAATGGAATACTGCAAGTCTGCAGCAACATGTCAATATATAAAACTCACATAGGAAACACCGGATGGTTCAACCATGTACAGTTGTGGTCCATCCCTATCATAACCTCCGAGAATTACCCCGCATCCGAAAGGTCTGCAAGATTAATTTTAATTCTATTTAAGTATAAAGGAGGAAGAAATTTTAAATTACTACAGGTCCTACTGAATCATGACAAACCTGAGCCACCAGTAAAGTGTACAGAGATGCACATAACTAGCAACACGATCAGCTAGTTCCTTTACAGGGATTGGTTCACCGTAAACACTACATAAAGAGTCCATAACTAACTGAGATAAGCATTCAATAGGATCATGCAAAAGACACAATATATCTCAAATAACATCACATAAAGCATGGGATTAATTCATAACTTCTTTCTCATGCTCACATAAAGACTAGTACTGCTCATCTGTTATATCTAGATGGTAGAGGACTTATTATCTGTAAACGTCTATTTCAATACATTAAACTTATCAAGTCAGGATTCAGGAACCATATTTGAACCTAAGAGAAGATTGGATTAACTCAAACTACAATCACCAAATAGTCATCAGCATTTTCATTAATTACAAATGAACAAATTTCATTATTTATGAAGTGGGAGATGTGCATTAAAACTCAGAGACTGTCAAAAATAAAGAGTCTCAAAGTGAAACCTTTCGTAGTTGGTTGCTTCAGATTTGGCTCGAGCAACTATTTGTCTTCCATCTGCTGCCAATCCTGCCACAGCCTACCGTCGAATAACAAACACATCAAATTGGAGCCTTACAGTTCACTTCTCGCTATGTGTTAAACAACAAAGACTTGAACATAAAAAAATCCAAGCAAATAACTTTTTTGCTCCATTATTCACACGCAAGTTTCTACCTCGTCAAGGCACCTTTCCATAATCAGTTAATCGACGACCACTATGTAATAAAAGCTCAAAATATCAAACCCTTAGTGAAGCATAATTGAAATGAAAGCAGTGATTGGGAAAAGACAAGGGAAGTACCATGCCAGAATGACGATGAACTGCGTGAATTCTTCTATTAGAACCGGGAAGCATCATCTTAGAGGTAATTAGCTTTTCCACGCCCTGAATCAAAAACACCCCCATCAGAATCAGATTCGTACATCGCAACAAACTACAGCACTCTCACAGGAAACACACTCAAGAGGCAAAAAAAAAATTACCATAACGACTCCATCCTTGCATTTGATTCCAATTACAGTCCTGCAAACGAATTCGAAAACAGTTAACACACAAAAGGAAACCACAAATCCGTAACTGAGGCAGTGTATTGAGAAATTAGGAGAGAAGAAAAAAGAAACGGAGAAGAAAAAGAGAAGAATAAGAATACCCGCTGTTGTCGACGGCCTTAGCGGCGTACTCGATCTGGAAAACGCGGCCATCTGGGGAGAATGTGGTGACGGAAAGATCGTAACCAGTCCCTATGCTACTCATTCTGATTTCTGATTCTTTGCCCTAACGGAGAGCGGATTCGATTGCTTCTCTGTGGAGCAGGAAATGGAGCAGCTTATGAAGAACACAAGAGAAGCTCCTTCTTTCTACTCTTCCGCTCTTCAATTTCTTTCTTCTCAAGAAAATCTTTTGCTTCTTTTTTCTCTTCTTTTTTCTTTTTTTTCTCCGTACACTTTTCCTTTTCCTACTAATTGAATTACAATTTTAGTCATTGTGTCTTTTTTTTCCCTCTTTAATAAGTCCATTTTCTCTGAGACTTTTTTTTTTGAAACAGTATTTTTTTCTGAACAATAATTCTCATGTCTTGAGATTCAATAAGAGAGAATGATACCAAAGCGAGCACCGCCGTAATTGGTACATATCTTCAACCAAGAAGCTATAAGTTTGATTGATATTTTCCTAATGTCATCAGAAAAATTGAAAAAATTCTAGAAAATAAGAACAAAATATCACTAATATGAATAAATATTAATATAAATACATTTTAATCTATAATTTTACTGGCCTCGTTTATCTTTAATATTTCAATAAATATTTATTTTGTCTCATACTTTTACGGGACTCAATTGTTTGAGTCTAGGTGTCTGTCGAGAGGAGGAGTATATCCATTCAATATAAATGTGATTGCATGAATTAGTATCTTTTCTTGTCAATACAATGTAGGTAAAAATATCTATCATTAAATATTGAATTCGTACTCTAAATTATTTCAATCTTTATTAATCTTCATGCAATTAACTTTAAATAAATTTCTTATTTTTTTCCTTCTATATTTGGATCCATGTCTAATAGGGCAAGGCTTTGTAGAATTTTGGCCATGCACCTATTTCAATTATATTTCATGATTTAATACTTAAGTATAATTTTTCTTTCGATAAAAAATAGGATCTAATTTATAAAAGACAAATAAATTGATAAATAGCTAAAATAATAGTCCGAATCTACTAGCCAAAGTGAGCATAGTTCAAGATCTCACACTCCCACATATTTTACTAAAAAAACCCAAATCCACTCATTATTTGGGTAGATTTTAAGTTAGACCTAATGTGTATTGTCCCACATTGAAAACTCTCAACCAAAAATTACACTATTTAAACTTGGAGAGAAGTCGTCAGGGCACGACTTTACTTGAACAGGATCTGTTCTGTAGGTTGTACAACTATTGTTCCCTTGAATTATAGGGAGGCAAGAACTAAAGTCTGGTGGATCTTGGTCCGGCAGCTGTAGAGGATGGTTCATGGAAGAATGTTGTTGGATTGGAATTTTCAGATTTCTATTCTTCTAAATATTGTGGAAGTTTTTGGTATCTCTAGCTTTATTTCATTGAGATTGGAACAGTCGGAAGTTTTCTAATTTTTCCCTTGGGATTGAAAAAATCTCTTCTGGATCATACTCTAGCTGTCATGTGTTAAACACTAAGATTAAAGTCTTGATTTGTAGTCTATAGTTGTCGAGATTAGTGTACAATTAAAGTTTGATGTCTAATTTCGAAATTTAGTCAAGTAAGATAGGCAACTATTTCACGATCTTTGATATTTTACCTCATGGCTTTCTAAATGTTACGATATTTAGACGAGCAAGAGATTAAAACAATGACTATACGAATTGGTTTAGTTATTACTATGGAGACGAGGGATATATTTTGCTCATTCAAGTCGAAATGGACTCTTTGGATGTTTTTGTGTTCATAGGGTTGTTCAATTTATACTTAAATCATTTTGATTGGGAGCTTTTCTTTGAAAGTAAACCTTTGTCGCTATGGACAAATGAACATGAATTATCGTTTTTGAAGGCTAATATATATTCTAGTACCTAATATCAATGTGTTCTTTCAATTTTGTCTCTGTTGTTTAAAATGTTGCCTTTTTAAGTTTCAACATTTTCTAATTATATGTTTTTGTTGCTCAATGTTAAAATTAGCTTACGATAGATTTACGTTATGTAATAGTTAATGAGTCGGTAGATATTTTCTAGGAGGTTGAATTAGGTCATTTGAGAGAAAAACTTATGATTCCTCCTCCAAGTTTATCATAAGTCAATTTTAACATTTACCAATGAAAAAAATACGCAGAATTTAAACTTTTTTAAAATTGAAGTCAAAACTTAAACTAAAGAATGAGAAGGTCATGTACCCTAAAATATCGTTTGTCAGTCCTAGTTTAAATTTCTACTACAATTTTACGTTGGGATAAGTACCAAAAAATGCATCTCCTTCGCCCACGCGCGATATCTCTACCAGGCGTGGCGCTCTACGCTTTTTCGAAGAATCTTGCACCCATGGGCATACGGCCTAGCAGGCCTTCCCACGTAGTTCCTTGTATTATCGGACTTGCATATTTCTACTTAGGGTTTCGAAATGGGCCGAGTGAAGCGCGCCTGCACCTGTCTTTGTAAAGGTATTCGATGCACATGGTTAAAGTTTGATCTAAGATTACTCGACCTACACTTCGACTACTAATAAGGGGACAAGACCAACCAATTAGATTGGAGGGGTAGGGCACTCTTCATTATTCATTCGAGAATGAATAATAAGAATGTTGGGTCAGGGACTCATCACATCTTGGGGTTGAAGAAGGTCTCAAAGGTTCGGTTGTTCGCCGATTCAAGTGGTACGTGGCTGGCCCTGCCCATCTGAAGGTACACAACCATTTAATAAGTAGTGCATTTAGAAATCCGAATTTCACTATTGTCTGTTTTAAATAAAATATTTCACAAATGTTTGTATGTGTCCAGTTTCTTCTAAATATTGCAAAACTTTTTGGTATCTCTTTGCTTTATTGCATTGATATTGGAATATTTAGAAGTTTTCTAATTTGCTATCAGGATTGAAAAAGTTTCACCTCAAATGGGATCACTCTCTAGCTGTCATGTGTCTAACTCTAAGATTAAAAGTTTTGATTTCAGTCTGTAAAGCTTCCCATCACATTCTTCTGAAAAGGATTTCGTAGGAATCTATATTGCAAACGATACATTCAAGTCGTCGAAATTAATATACATGTACGTGTGAAATATGCAAGTTAAAAGTGTCAGTAGTATTATCAAGTTCACACGAAATTTTCGGAGAAATTATGGTTTCGTGGAGTTGAACTTGATATATGTTATTGAATTTGAATTGAAGTTATATGTTCTTAGTCTTCAAAGAGTCTTCAATTTGGTGTGAATTCTCTTAATTCTGAACCCCTAAAATGAATGAGATCCCCTCTATTTATAGAGGTTTCATAGACTTTGGTGGGCCATTGGGCTTGGATAATTTTGGGGTCAAGCCCAATTTTTTTTTAAAATGGATTTATTTGAATTTAAATATTAATCCACTTTAATTCCTGGTAAATTGGGTTTTGGGCCAAGTTTATGAATCAAATTGATTCCAAGCCCAGTACTCATATGACCCAATTACATATTTTAATTGTCAAATTATCTTTATTTTAATTTAGGGTTAATATATAATTAACCCTTAAATAAAATAGATAATGACGTGGCCGTTTATGATTGGCCCAAAATTTTTTGTTCTACAAATGTATAGCTCAACGGGTTAAGACACTATCTCCAATTAAAAAGTCATGAGTTTAAATCTCAAAATGTTGTACTGAAAAAAATAGCTCAACTAATTAAAGATACTATCTCCAACTAAAAAGCAGTTCCTTCTCCCATGGGTTGTAGGCTTAATGCCTATTTAAGGATCCTTCTTCAATTGTTTCTTTCTAAGCATGGTGAAGTTTGAGTGATTTTTTCACTATTTGATTTCTAATAATTAATTTGTTATTTCATTTGAAAATTAGTTTTGGAGAGTTAAAATATCTTGAATGTAGAGGTATTTGACGAGTGCTTGAGAATGTCCTTTTGTAATCCCATCTTGAATATTATAAAAAATATTCTCACCGTCTTTGCTAGTGGATGTAGACTTAGTCAAAACCGTGTAAGTTCTCTCTTTTTTATATTTAAAATTGCCATAATTAGATTTAGTTTGTTATTTCGCTGCAATTCGCGAATTTGGATATTTAAAGTAGTATAATAAGGTCAGAGTTGAGGTTTAGTAGATTGTTTTATCTTTTAGTCATGGTAATTGTGAAGCCCTAAGGTTTCACTTTTGAATTACAATACGATTTTTATTATGGCAAACTAAAACGAGGGTTGTACTTGTCCAAGTGGACCTAGAAGAAGTATTAATGGGATATAGTAAGATGTCCGCATATCATACACAAGAGGAGAAACATTATAGAAGGAATGCCTTTAGATGATCATTTGGCTGCCTTTAAGAAAATTGTCTCTAATTTAGAGTCTACGGATGTTATAATGAGGAAATATTTGACATTTGATTCTATCGTGTTCTCTACCTCCCTCGTACGCCAAATATATATTTCAAACATTTGGGTCAGGTAACGTCAAGGTGGAGATTTGTTGTGCGCGTTCCGTTATCTCACACATAAGTGGGGGAATGGACTAGATGCTTATTTAAGGRTCCTTCAATTCTTTCTTTCTAACCCTGATGAGTTTGAGTGACTTTTTCATGGTTGGTTTAATTTCTAATAATTGCCTACTGTATTGACAAAATTTTGAAATTAGACATGAAACTTTAATTTATCTCGACAGCTGAGAGTGTCATTTGTAATATAGACTCGAACGAATTTTTTTTGCTACGGGAACAACCTATTATAAAGAAGAATGTCACGTGAAGCTCTATAAATTACGGATCAAAACTTTAATCTTAGAGTTTAACACATTACAGCTAGGGTATGATCCCATTTGAGATGAGATTTTTTCAATCCTTAGAAAAATTAGAAAATTTCTAACTGTTCCAATATCAATGACTTCCACAATATTTAGAAGAATAGAAATCTGAAAATTCCAATCCAACAACATTCTTCCAATAAATTTTAGATACCAAAAGGAACAACACAAGCTGTGCCCCGTACGAAGGGAGCGATCGTAGGCGATCTCGTTTCGTCCATCACAACTCTGCAAGTTAGGCCAGTTTACATGAAAAATGAGGAACAAATTAAGCAGCCATGCAATTTCAAGCATCCTCCAAACTCCAAAACAAGTAAAAATAATGAAAACAGAAACCAAAATATTGGCATAAAACAACTTTCTAGCAACCAATTTCAGAGACCAAAGAAAAAAAAAAGACATATTTGATTACAATTTCGCATTGAAATTAGGGCTGTGGCTTGAGTGACATATCGTCGAACACATTACGGGCATAAATCAAAACCCCCCACCAAATACCTCCCGCCGTCGAAGCAGAAGATTACAGTCTCAGCCATGGCGTTTTACAGCACAAAATCCAACAAGTATCCAAATTCTAACGCTGCAGATCTCAACTACAAAATAAAGAAACCCAGAAAACGCAGGAAAGGAAAATAAAAAAGAATGAAAAAGATTTTAAGAGTCTGTCAGACCGCCCTGCAACCATCCCGGCACGACCGAGGCCATGCTGAGAACGATCCTCTACAGCTGCCGGGCCAAGATCCGGTACAGCCATTAATCACGCTCTAGCCACAGGACAGTGGTTCATCCACCAGACTTTCGTTCTTGCCTCCGTCGAACTCAAGGAAACAGTTGTACAACCTATAGAACAGATCCTGTTCAAGTAAGGTCGTGCCCTAATGACTTCACCTCCGAGTTTAAATAGTGTAATTTTTGGTTGAGAGTTTTCAATGTGGGACAATGCACATTAGGTCTAAGTTTCAAGTAAGAGATTTTTTGAACTTAAAACCCACCCAAATGATTAGTAGATTTGGGTTTTTTTAGTAAAATATGTGAGAGTGTGAGATCGAACCTTGAACTATGCTCACTTTGGCTAGTGGATTCGGGTTTTTATTTTAGCTATTTATCCATTTATTTGTTTTTTTCAAATTAGATCCTATTTTTTATATGAAGAAAAATTATACTTAAGTATTAAATCATGAAATATTGAAATAGGTGCATGGCCAAAATTCAATAAAGATGAAATAGTTTAAACTTTAGAGAACGAATTCATTACTCAATGTCTGTGATGATATTTTTACATACATTACATTGACAGGAGAAGAGGGTAATTCATTGAAATCGAACATAATACTAAGAGGATGAGTGGAGAAGAAGAGCTGAGTGCAAAAATTTAGTACACAAGTTGAGGCTCAAACTCTGCAAAATCAACAGATCCAGACTCAATTGGAGGCATCAAATATGCAGCCAAAATCTCAGACACTAATCCTGCAACAAGTGGGATCCTCTTCAGGTTCTTCACCAGGGGAAGCTCATTGCTTTCTCCAACAGCAATCAGCTGCTCATTGATCTCTACCATCCTGTCCAGTTTCCTCTTGAACTCGGGATTCTCGACGTCTGGTACGGCGGGGAATATTCTCGCCGTCGTGCGGTTTGTCTGCGTTAACACAAGTCAAATGAATGGTTAATAATCCAGTTGCTAGCTAATAAGCACCTAAGTATTTTTCGTAATATTGCTTTCTTCCCTTGTTTTTGAAACTACTCTCAAGCGAACTTTTAAATGACAGAGTAAAAATTGAAGTTTTTATTTATTTATAAGCACGAATGTTGGAAGAGAGAACAAACTTAAAAGTACTTTGGAAAAACACTACATGAGAAAATAAATTTAAGGTTTAAATCTTATTATGATCCTTCAGTTTTTATATTTTGTTGAAGCCTTTACCTTCAAAATTTGCCTAAAGAAATGTTTTATTGAAATGCAGTACGAAAAATGTAGCAATAAGGAACAAAAAGGAATTTTTTTTAGGTTTAGGAATCAAAACAAAATATAGAAAGACCAAATTTAAAAGTTCAAGCCCTACAAAAGAGTTTAAACCTATACTTAAAGGAAAAGGTATCCAAACATGTTCCATTGAATTTTGTTTGAAAACCAGAAAGTTGTTTTAAATCAATCTCAAACAATCCCTTAGATGCACATGGCAAACAAATGAACTATGGAGATCACAGGCTTACCTCAATGATGACATGCATGTCAAATTCTTTAGTGTTAAGGCCAATTCCCTCATAGAAAGCTGTTCTTTGGCAGTCATTGAGATACATTGTCACATACACCTGAAAAATATTTCACAAGAGGAAAACACATACATTAAGGTCAAATTCAACCCATAAAATTGTCAATAATAAAGGCCTCGTCTGATACCAATTTTGGTTTTGATGTTCTGTTCTTAAAAATTAAGCTTATAGAAACTAGTAACTACTTATGTCTGAGTTTTCTTCTCATTGTTTATTGTCAAATGTCAAGTTTGCAGAATTCTACTCAATTTTCGGTGAGAACAAGGAATGGTGAGTTACCGATAAGCAGAAGAACCGGGACCACAACTTAGCCTTCCAATCATTGAGGAACTGGGGCTGTGCCTTGAGCAATGCTGAAAAGAAATCACCATGCCTGTTCTCATCTTGGCACCAGTTCTCAAAGTACTTGAAAATTGGGTAGCATTGGAATTCAGGGTTGGCCTTGAGATGTCTGTAAATGGTTATGTATCTCCAGTATCCAATTTTCTCAGACAAATACGTTGCATAGAAGATGAACTTAGGCTTGAAAAATGTGTATTTCCTAGCCTTTGTCAGGAACCCCAAGTCCAATGCCAAGTTGAAATCAGACAGACCCTTGTTCAAAAACCTGTAATCAAATGGAATATCAATATCGAAATCGTAAGACGAAGTAACTTAAAACATTTTTATTGTCATGTTGGATCGGCAGTTAAGTCTTAGAATCCTTAAAACAGGTGCATCAATTTAAGACATTAATTTAAATCTTACTTTAATCTTTAAAATATTAACCTTTTTGTTTTTTTTTTGTTTGTTAAGTATTCACAGAGACCCAAAGACGTGTTTTCTTTATTTTTCTAGTGAAAGGATTCTCTACATAGACAATATTTCAAGCCACATGTGTTAGGTGTGGTAGGCTATGTGTTATTTTTCAATATGTATTTAGATTTATATTAAATAGTTAATGAAAAAGTAACAACAAGGACAAAAGTACGTGTTTAAGCAAAGTTTAAGAAGTAAAACTTAATCTTTGGAAGTTAAAAAGATTAAAGATAAAAGCGAAGCATTTGAAAGTTCAAGGATCAAACAAAACAAGTATGAAAGTTTTAGGACAAATAAATTTGAACTCAATTCATAATTTTCTCAGCTCAGCTGAAAAGGCAAGGGGAATGAATTCGAGAACTTGATTTACATATATTATATCCCGTAGCATCGTTTTGAATGAATAAGGAAACTCATGTGATGGGTTTAAGGCTATAAAATCAGTACGTACCCAGCATGCCTGGCTTCATCCCTAGACATCAGAGAGAAAATCTCAGCCACCACTGGATTGGTTTTCTGAGAACATCAAAACAATTGGCCAATGTGAGATAGAAGAAGACTATTATCCTTCCACATTGCTTAAAATATGATTTCATAGTGAAAACTGGGTTATGATTAGGAACCTTATAAATAATCCATTGTGCAGTAGAATAAAACAATAGAGCAGGCCAAACCACAGACACTCAAATGACATACCATCGATTCTCTAACACGACAACTAAAGTTGGGTTGCTGTAACAAAAGGTTGGTCTAAACTAGAAGACAATTTCATTTCTGTCTCTAGATGATCGAGTGAAAAAAAAAAGTGCTTGTAAAACACAATTTTCGAGTGATTTGTTTGAAGGACAATGAACTTAAGAACACTATTCACAATCGCAAACCGTGTCAAAACAAAGTTCCTAAAAAACAGTTATAAACATGATTTTCAAACTATTTTTCACAGCAGTTCCAAACTTCCAATTAACCAGCATTACTGATACAATTAATCTCAAAAGTCGATAAGCATTACCTTAAGCCTCCTTCCCAGCTCCTTGTAGAGAAGAAACCCAGAGAACTCAGCAGTACAAGACCTCTCAAGAAACTCCACAAAGATCTGCCTGAGGTCGCCTTCCATTTTATCAGCAGCTTCCTTGAACTCCTTGTTCCTGACGAAGTGCGTCTGGTTGTAATCGGTCTTGAACTCCTGGAGCAGAGCCTCGAACTCGGACTGGTTCAAGTTCTTGTTGATTTCTGTGTTGAAGAGCGTCTCCATTTCATCGAAATCGGTGGTGTAGAACCTCGGCGTAAGAAGCGTCTCCTTAATCACAGCCTTGTTGCCTTTCTTCGAGGAACTTGGAGGCGATTGAGAAGCTGCAGACATTTTAATGGCGGTGAATTTGGAGTAAGAGAATGCCCTCGCTCCCGCTCCCACTCCCGCTCTCGCTCTAGCTCTATGGCTCTCGAATTCGGGAGTTCTGCTGCAGAACTTCGACATCGGCTTCACGAGGGCCATCTCGGCGGCGGCAGCCATGGAAGAGAAGCTCTGGACTGAAGCTTTCTGTGGCTGCTTCAATGGCGGATGGAAGGAAACAGGGGAGTGAGAGGTTGAGGAAATAGAGACTGTGATATATAATATGAGGAATTGAGGATAGTGATGTAATATTTCGTATCCAATGAAATCCAAGATTTTCCCACTTGATATTGACACGTGGCGCGCCATTATTGGTCTGTCAGATTACTCGTTGGTGGTGATAAATGATAATGCCAAGTTCGCAACAGAATTTGTGGTTCCCATTTCTTTTTCTTTTTCTTTTCCTATTTAATTTACTGGAAATCTGTGGTTGTCATTAAACGGACGTGGGATTCTTTCTAGTAATATGTGATATGGGCCTAACTTTAGCATAAAAGTTAAGACTAGAAAACGCGTTGAAAAAATATATATTTAAATAACATTTCACAATTATTTTAAATTTTACTTTGAACCACCACCTATCAGCCATTTTTATTTTAATTTTTGAACTGTTTTGGTCTTTCCTAGAAATGAATGGCCCAAGAGATTTATTTTAGACGAAATACAAATTTTTAAAAGCAAACGATCAAAATGAATGAATGTTTACGAAGGTTTAAGATGAGAAATAGATGGCCTAAGATTTATGGTACACGAGATACAAATTTTTAAAAGCAAATGAACAAAATAAACGTTTACGAAACTTTAAAATGAAAATAGGGACGATAAAGTTTAAACCATGGTTCTAAATATCCGTTGACACATATACATTTCCATATTTCCATAGGTTCGACATCGACATGAGTAGTAAATGGACATTTCCATCATAGTACAAGAAAATCGACAAAATATGAAAAATATCAAGAAAATGTCACTATAATATATATAATATAAATATTAATTATTTTTAACTAATTTAGGAATAAGAAAATGTTTATTTTGTTAATTTAAATATTTTTTACGATTTTTTAATTTTTCTAACTTTTATAGAAATATCCATCGACATCGACATTTTATCGATATTTCCATCGATATTTCTATGAAATTAAGACCACGATATTTCTATCTACATCAACATTTAAAACCTTGGTTTAAACACCGAAATAATAATATTTTACTTTTCGATTTTTACATGCTTAGGGTTCTAAAAGAAAGGGGTCAAAAAGAAGGGGAAATAAAGTGAAAGAGACACACCAAAAATATATGTTACACAACTTGGAGTAATTTCCTCAACATTAAGCTCAATTAACTATTGTAAACAAAGTACATCTTTTTTTTTCAGATTCTTGTGGCTCTTGGTCAATTCATAGTAGATTTAGGTGAACATAGAAAGGAAGAGGAAAAGGGTGTTTATTTGATTTTCTACACAATACTTACAGTTGCTGTCATTTCATCGTTCCCGACCTGGTTTAGAGTTAATCCCTATTTCAAAACAAGTTGAGATCAATGCTGAATCCGTCGGATGCTATCGTTTCGAAGGAAATATCTCTACGAGACCTGAGAAGAAAGCATACGAACATCAGGTAACATGAAAACAAGTAGATCTTATTTGCAAATGATGATGGCGGATATGGTGGGGAAGCGAAAAGGACTATCCTACCGAATGTTTAGGTTTGAATAAATCAAACCGTGCTTCATCGACCCGAATCATGGGAACGACAAAGGTTTTGTAGTATGTTAAACTTTGCAACATTGGCAAGAAGGTATACCTTTCGTCTCCAAGAAACTTGACGGCGATGAGATTGAATTAAAGATGCTACTGAGTTCTCTTATTGTTCATACCGCTTAACATCGGATTCTGTACGGCTCGATCTTGCATAGGAGTAAATGCATACGCGACATTTCGGTCTGTGACATCCTTTTTCTTCAAATCATCATCGATACTGGAATAATCCAAATTTTGCAACATGCTTGGAAGTTTCATACTACTATCCTTGGTAAATATCATGTCCATTTCCAAGTCGAATTTATCCTTTGTGATGACGAAGCCTCTATCGGTTTTGGAACCGGTGTATTGCAGGCTGCCTTCTTCCTCTTCTGCTACCCATGCTCGGAAATCAATCATCGAAGGAGGGATCTTAGACCAGAAGACATCCTTCAAATTTCCCCATAGCCCTTTGGTAAAGGGGTTGACCTTCTTATCGTAGCGGTAACGGAAATTTTCATAAGTTGTCTGCAAAAGATTAGCGGTCAAAACGCAACAGAAAACAATATGTTGCATACACCAATACTTTCAGAAATCACAGGCAAAACCCAGGAAAAAGAAGCTTTCCCCCATGGCTAAAAAAACTGAGTTCATATTATATGTTCGTCTATTCCCAAGCTTTCCTTCATGGATTACTCATATTCAAATACTGGAAAACAGTAAACGATACAGCTAATATATATATACAAATGCTGTTTGTGACAATATGAAGCTCTACCTGATTGGTACACATCAGATAAATATGGAAAACCGTTAGCCCGCCAACGAACCAAACAGATATGAAGCAGTATACAACAAGTATAACAGACAAGATATCATTTGAGACGACAGTCCAAAAGCTGCCAGTTTGTCGAACAATGGTGATCCACGAAAACGTGAAGACGTATATACACAACATGGTAGATGTTGAAATAAACATTATGAAAAATCGATAGTTCCGCTGCAACCGAAAAAAAATAGGGAAATGGTTAATTCCATGCAAAAAAAAACATATGTAACCACCAAGCATGTTCAAGCTGCTGTTTGATATGTTCTCACAATTGAAGAATTTTGTTAAAGTTGGATAAGTAATCTAGAGAAATTTGATGGAGAATAGAAATAGATTAAATTATTTTTTTAGCCCTTAAATGTTTAGGGTGTGTCTAACAAGATCCTCAATTTTAAATAAATGTCTAAACTTTCAATTTTGTATCTAATAAGCTGCTGAAGTTATAAAGTGGCGAGTTGGAACTTTCAATTTTGTGTCAATGGGTTCCTTGCCTTTTCAACACCTTTTAAAATTTACGGACCGATTAGACACAATATTGAAAGTTAAAAAACCTATTAGACACTTTTAAACTTTAGAGACCTATTAGACACAATTAAAAGTTTAAACACCTATTAGACACTTTTTAAAGTCCAATGGTCTATTAGACACGACTCTGAAAGTTCAGGGATATTCTTCATTATCAAACCATAGAAATACTGAAGAACGATATCTAAGTCAAATGTTGAATAAGCGAAGCTTCAACCGATGTGCCTTGTACAAAAGTCAATGTGCTTATATTTTGAACCCTATTACAGTTGAATCATTGACATCATCTTAACCAAAAATGGATTAAAATCATGATACTTCGGGATAACTTACCAGGCCAATACACTGACCTACCCACGGACAGTGGTGATCAAACTTCTGGACACAATTGTTGCAAATTGAGCAATGAGAAGCCCGTGGTGGACGGTACAAAAGGCAAGTGTCACAAAACTTAACTTTGACCGAGTATCCGTTGATTGTTATATCCTTTATCCGGGGTATTTTCAGATTAGGTGTCTTGTGATTGACCCACTCCATAGAAGGGGTGGGCATGTCCAATAATTCATCTGATTCAAGCGGCATTGAGTTTCTTGGAATGATCCCAGGATCTCTACCAGAAGTCAAGAAGAGAAAAAGAAAATCCTGCACAAACAAGAAACCAATCAGGTTTGATTCATCTGTTTTTGACGCTTAAATTAGACAAAAAAAAAAAATAATAAAAAAAGTTTGCCTTTCACAAACCAAAACTGTAAGAACCAATCCTCCAATCAATACAGGGAAGTGAAAAAAATCTTGATCGCCATTGACAGCCACTAACATTCTTATACAGAATGTTATTGCAGGAACACCGATCAAAAATGATGTTAAAAAGAGCGATGACCCATCTTGACCGAAGACTAATCTCCCACCACATAAGAATTTCTAGCAGACAAAAGAATATGCAAGCACCAGAATTAGCATTGCCTCAAACAGCAAAAACTTACAGGATAGCAATGGAGATTCCTTTCTATTACCAAACGAATCATACATTCACCATCACAAATTCTTCCAATAACATTGAAATGCACCAATTTAAACAAATATCTAAGAAACTATGCCAGAATATCTCATGATCGTTCAAGGAAATCCTTACAATGGATGCACATTAAACCCAATGGCCGCATTCGATTCAAAAACTTAAAGGGCAAGTAGCTTATAATAACAAATTAAAAAAGATAGAGAACGATCAAATGCATCTATTATCTCACCCAGGTGGCTAATTACAGATTATTCAATATAAGAAAAAATCTAACAGTTAAATCCATTGAATTGAGGATATCTCATGATTATCAAGGGAGATCCACACAATGAACATGCATTAAACCCCATGGCTGCATTAAATTCAAAAACTAAAGGGGCAAATAGCTTATACAGACAAATTAAGAGACCAATTTCACAGAGAGATAATGAATGCAGCTAATTACAGTGAACAGATTATTTAATATAAGAAAAGTTCAAACAGTCTGAATCCACTGAATTCATAGAATTGAGAATATCACATGATTATCAAGGGAAATCCTTATAATGGATATACACAATAAACCCAATGGCAGCATTAGATTCAGAAACTAAAAGATCAAATCAAGGGGGAATAAAAAAAAACAGAGAGAGAGAGAGATAATGAACGCATCTATTAATCTCAATCACAGAGAACATTTTGAAATAGAGAAACTCACATTGTTTCCCTTCCAGACATGATATAGCCTCCTTTGAGCTGGTTTGTGAGGAGCAACATGAATGGCATTGGAGGGAGAGCCGTCCCAGCTCGATTCTTTGTTCATTTTCCAATCGAATTCTTTCTGGTTTGTCTGAGGGGAAAAGCAAAAAATCTCTGGGTGTTCGTGGTTGTGATTCCCAGACACCCACTTCAAACAAACAAAAACAACTCGAAATGCTTTTTTTTTTTTCCTTTTTGGGTATCTCTAGAAAATCAAAATCAAATCGAAAAAAAGGAAAAAAATCCTCTTCAAATGGGTGAATAGAAGAACGAAATGGGTTTTCAATTTGCAAACAGCAATGGGTCGTAACGAGCCCCAGAAATGTGTCAAACCCAGATCGATCTTACAGTGCAAGAAGAAAAAATTCAGCCCACCTCGTCCTCTCTCTCAAGAAATCTGATATCTTTTTTGTTTGTTGTTCTTCCTCTCCCCCTCTCTCTCTAACGATTCCCTTGTTATTGCGAGGTTTCCGCCGCGAAACCACTCATGACAGGGAGAGAAAGAGAGAGAGAGAGGAGAGGAGAGGAGAGAGAGAGAGAGAGAGGCGCACCGTATTTTTCATAAAGGTGAAAGCAGAGAGCCAGAGGCGATTTTGTTGATGCTTCACCGGGCACCGCTTTCTGTTGCATTACCCGCGAAAACCATTTCTTCGGGTTTTTCATTATTATTAATACTAAATATAATCTTCATATTCATTTTTTTTTCTTATATATATATTTTAATATATTACCGTCCAAATCAAGAGGGTGTAGTTCAATCCTCCACCCCCACATGAAATTTACACGTACCTTACTAATTTCATGACACAACTGCTTCCCTGCTTACCCTACAATATTTAAACACATTTTCTCTTAATTTATCTTGACCTCTTCAGACCATATATTTCAGCTCCATGTAATGGAGTATTGTATGTGTATGTTTAGTCATTGAGTAAAAAAATTAGTTAGAGTATAAAGTTAAAGCTATTGAAATTTGATGTTAGTGTCTCTTTGTTTGAACTTTAAATTATGATTTTATTTAATCTCTCACGTAAATTTTACGTATGTGAGGACTATTAATAGACATGCCACGTTTATTGGATAAATACTTCAGTGACTTGAAAAACTAATGCAAAAGACAAGTGAACAATTGATAAAACTGAAATGGCTTGTTTGACTCATTCATCTACCATCTAGCTATCCACATATTTTCTAAAAAAAGAGATTCTATCAACATATTTTCTAAAAAAAGAGATTCTATCAACTTGTTTCGATCCAGGATAATAAGCTGGTAAGCTTAGTCTTACTTCACTGTTGAGAAACAAAAGAAGACTTCCATCTCCGAAATTAACTAAGATGTAGATTGCTTATTTTTAGATATGAAGCATTAGTATCAAACCAAAATACTCGACGAGCATTTGCTCTTCTTAAAAATGAGAATCCAACTCCACCTTCCAATACAGCTACCTTATTACAACTTCACTCCAGTCACAAGCCCTACCTCCGATAGCCCCTCTTTACGATTAAGGTAATGACTTTGAACATAAGAGGAATAGTTTCACTAAAATAGAAACGATTCGATTTAGGAGGTAATCAAACTACACCTTCCAATAAGACTACCTTATTATGACTTCACTCCAATCACTAGTCATGCCTTCGACATCTCCTCCTTGTGGTTAAGATAACGGCTTCGGGCATGAGAAATAGTTTAATAAATAGAGACGAACTGAAATAACGTCTAATCAGTTATATCATGTCAAATCAATCAATATTTATTAATAGTAATGTTGCATCACCAATTTAGCATATTTATTGATAGTAATGTCGCATCACCAATTTAGCATCGATGTTACCAATAGCTGAATGGTATCATAATTTAACATTCACAAGCATAATGAATGTCTTTAGGAGCTAAACAGCCACAAGTATATAAGTTAGACATCGATTACCACTTCAAAAGGTCGATGGTTGAATTTTACAACCTACAAAATTTCGAGGAAAAAAAACTTTCAATTACATCCCTTAATTGATGACATAATTGACACTTCATTTCTTGAAAATTGAATGAAGTGGTATGATCAGCAGCAAAAGGAATTGGGAGATTGACAAAATCCAGATCATGTAATAACAAGTTTGATCCTTCAAAGCTTATATATCCTGAACTTAAAAAAGGGTCTAAATAAGCTCTTCAACTTCAAAAAAGTGTATAGTAAATCTTCAAACTTTCAAATTTGTGTTCCGTACGTCCTAAAATCTAAAAAAATAAAAATAAAAATGTAATGGATCAAGACACCATATAACCTCTTTTAAATTCAAAGACCTACTAGACACGACATCTAAAAGATTTAAGGCCACTAAAATCAACTGTGTAAACTCAAATTATGAAATTTGGGAATAAAAACAATTGAATCTTCATCCAAAGCAGGAGAGTCAAGAAAGCATTTTCGGAAAAATAGAGCATCAGCTGTTGACAATGAACAGAAACCTGCCATTTTCTTTCCACATACAAGAGAAGCATTCATGGCAAGTGATAATAAGGCAAACCATCTAACCCTCATGGAGAAAGATGCAGCTGTATCATAAACACAACTACAACAACATCTAACTAAAGGCTTAGAGAAAAGGAGCAGCTACATCATTAATATGTATGTTACAGAGCTTACAACAAGAGGGGGAATTTTGGACATCTGCAAAAGAGAGCTGGGTGGTCGATACCGCTGCAGCAACAACAAAACACTATGAGCTGAACGCCTGAGTTGGTACATATTCTGATAGTGTCTCTGTCGGTCCTTGATTTCATCTAGACATCAAAAATAGAAATGGAGCATGGTGATGAAAACGAAAAAATGCAATTTTTCATTTGGTACACTAAAGATGGTGGATAATTTGACTAATTGATGTTCGTCACCATTTCTTTTTAGTAATTGGGGTGTGGGATCCACTCTATTTCTTTTTAGTAATTGGGGTGTGTGGGATCCACTCTTTACCTTATGCTCACGGCCCCCACCCCCACAAATCCCTGGAGAGGCTTGCTTCACCCATCCGAGGTTATTGTGTTTTCAACTTAGGACTTGAACCTAGAACTTGGAGGGCACCGGGGTTCACAACACCATTTTTAAAATATGAAAGGTTCAATACAAGCCAGAATAAATCCAAAACATAGTTTTGGTATCTACAAGAAGATGGAATGATAATGGGGCAAACTGCAAAGCATTAAAAATACACAGAACTAAGAAAACATTCTAGAACCTTCATACCAAAATCCTCAACAGCATGCAGAGTGCCCAACTCAATAAAATTTTAGGGTAATTTTAGAATTAAATTACAAGTTTAGTCAAGTTCTAATTTTGTGTCCGAAAGGTCATTCAATTTTGTGTCTAATAAAACATTGAATTTTAGAAGCGATTAAGTCATTGAACTTTCAAGCTGGTGTAAAATAGATCCCTAACTATAGGGCATTTTTTTAAAATTCGCATTCCTATTAGACTCAAAATATTGAATTTTGAGTTCAATAGGTTCTTGACCTTTCAATTTTTATCTTACTGGCTTGTAAACTTAAAAAATTATAATTATCTAATAAATCGGGGACCTACAAAATAGAAAGTCTATGGACTGATAGAAAAGCCCCTAAAAGTCTAGGGGATTAAACTTGTAATGTAACCCTAAACTTATCTCCCTTGTTTAAAAGGCCTCAAGAAATTATTATTATTATTATTATTATTATTATTATTATTTCCCTACAATCTCTAAGATAAATACTATGTAGCAGCCTAATTTTCTACATTTCCATGATTCAATAGCTTAAAGAACAAAGCAAGTGGAAACAGGCAAGATATCAGTATATACCTTCGCAAGCAAGTAGCAAACTAAGAGTTGAGAGCTCTAACCTTATTTTAGAAAGCACAAGTCAGGTGATCCGTCCGTACTGAAATGCACCTTCATGACAAAGAACTAACAAAAATAGCCTCTGCATTTCAAAGACCCACATAGGCAATTTATCTTCCTTCCTTCAGCACTTTCAGGTGGGACAATCCCATAATCATATGTCAACTCCATCATCGGAGGTACATGTCTGATCGCATGAAACGCAATATGGATATCGTGCTCGCCTTTATTTTCCCGTAAAATCGGCTTCCAGTATACATTTGGAGAGCAACTATGGTTCATAAAACGAGCAACATTGCCAGCATTCTTTGCACTAATAACTAGGGTAAATGGGAGTCTTGGAGGTCCATCAGAATCACCAGACATAACTTCAAGGTTCGGGTAGGAACGTGTGGCATCAAAGACATAACCATCTTCGTTGTCCCCCACAGAGTCCTTTGCCCTTGAACTATCAATGACTTCCCCAGCATATTGGCAAATAAAAGCTCCAGCACGGATGGGATCCCAAGACCTGAGCCCCCAGCCTTTACCTTTAGTTCTAAATACCTCCAGACGAAACTTGAGACCTCCTTGCGACACACGGTTCCTGCAATTAGGAGGGCATTGACATGAGGCTCCACATTCATATATCATAGATTGTTGACTCGCAAGAACCCCATTTGAACTATATGGGAGATATCCACCATTTTTCTGCATGCAAGAGCAGTTATTGCCTGGGAGGCATCCACCAATACAGTTACAGCCAGCTGAAGGTTCCATTGAATATACTGGTTTCAAATATTTGAGACCAGCATAATATGTGAAGTATGCAGGGCCCTTCTCATCATCAACATCATTTACAAGCGATACGGGTAGACTTTCTGCTCCAGAAGCCAGATCTGGTATTATAACCCCAATTCGAGATGCATTCCCATCCTTCCATTGTTGGACTAATTTCCATGTCAAGAATGCTTCCCGCTGTCCAGGTAATCGCACCAATTTGTATTTGAATACATTGCAGCCAGTTTTCCCTTTCTCTACCCAATATTCTTGGATTTTATAAAGACCATCATAAACATAGATCTTCCCTGTTGCGTTACTAAAATCCCTAACTCCACGAATTACTCTGACATCATTTCCACGATGCAAGCTCTTCTCTAGAGCAAGATTACCCCTTTCAAGCTTTTGATCGGTTGATTCCTTATCCTTTCTGTTAACTCCACCCTGGCCACTGTAGATCAGCACATCTGCATCATTCGTATCATCCTCATATCCTCCAGACGAGACAATGCTTACTGCTACTGGTTCTTCATCTTGACTGATCTTTAAACCCATGTAATCAATACCAGCCATGGATGGAGCATGCAAACCGACCAGGCACAATTCCATCCTGAAAAAGAAGATATCACCGACGTCCACACCAGGTACAGCTCCAATTCTTTTATTGATATTTGTCCGGACACCTTTGGTCATCAGAAATGCACCTGTTTTAAGATCCGGACGCCTTATATTTCCTGGAGTTGGTTCCTTTGACTCTTCAACTTGTGAAATCCTCCTCCTTAGCAGATCAAATACAATGAGTACACATGAAACTGCTTCAGAGCTACCATGGGCCTGCCGATTTGAATCTAACACTGAAAGGTTGTATGATGAAACCATATCATTAAGCATTCCGTCAATATCAATATCTGATGTAAAATTAATGTCCTGACCATTCCTTGTTTTCTTCTTTGCCTTGCTCTTTCTTCCTGATTTACTAGAATCTTCTCCATCATTTACAGCCATGCCATAATACTGAGCATTATCATTTTGAGTATCACTATACCCATCTTGTAACTGGGCACGGCTTCTGGTATTTTTCCTAGAGCCAGTATTTGGTGTTGACATACCCTCAGTAGGTGTCCTGAAAGAAGATATTGGAACTGCAGTTGATATGGGACTATTGAGGCCAAAAGATTGATTACTATTTGTACCACCCGGTGTCTGTTGATGTTGGTCATTTGGTGAAAAGAAGAAGGGATAGAATGGAGCAACCCCAGGTGGAAAAGGGCCAGAAGGACCAGCACATACAAATGGGGCAGCACCTTGAGGAGTCGAAAAAGAGGACACATTTTGTGCTGATGGGAACACTGGTACTAGTTGGCGCAATGGTCTTACATTTAATACCTTTGATTTGTCTAATGACCCAGCGATAGGAGTGGAATCCTGACCCAGAGGCTGCTCCATTGAAAATCACTCACGCTACACAAATACAATCTTACAAACACGATATTCCACAGTAAAAATCGCCGTACATTATTTCCAGAATTACAAACTAAAAGGAACAATTCCCAATCAAAAGCTTCCTGACTACCGTTCTCCCAAAATATCCTCCTAGTAGTCGATGTTGTGCATAATTAAACCGCTTGAAATCTGAAAATCCAACACAAGCTATTACTATGGTGCAAAGAGAAGACAGTCTGAGCTCAGAGGTCCCAGTCCCATTGGAGTAACGAAAACTATTTTCAACCAAAAGAAATATATATGCACACATTTTGTATAAATCACTAACTTACAATACGAGGAATCAATATAGCAGAACCAATATTTGAATAAACGACCTCAAATCAATCTATATGGAATATAAGGAGAAAAATGTTTCCGCAACATGCAAGTGAAAATCAGTATTTTTGGATTAACTTGACTTTGTCTAACCAGCTAAGTAGAGGTTCCAAACCACTGTTTGCAGCTTTTGAGTTAAAAAGCCAGGCCAAAATCTTTCAGTAAAATGCTAGCACGAAAGAGATGGAACAACTTAAAAAAATTTGGACAAAAAAATTCTTTTGCAACTCCAATTGGCCAGAATCATTTAAAAGAAAAAAAAAAAAAAAACTTTTACAGCTGGGATTCCCTCTCATACTTCACTCACAAAAAAAAAAGGAAACCGAATTAGTAAACTTCTTTAGCTCCTTGAGACTAACAAAAAATTCGCAAAATCACAGCACAACTTCCTTCTATCACCCTCAATGCTCTTCCTAACAAACCAGAAAACAGCAATAGAGAAAAAACCAAAACAATCTGGCGATCCGAAGAAACCAAAATCTAAGTGAAACCAGAAGAGAGGGGGAAAACCCTACTTCTCAAACAGGAAAAAGATGGAAATGCGCTCAGATCAAAACCAAACAAAGCACGGAACAAAAAAACAAAGATCAAAGAAGAAAAACGAGAATCTAGAGCAGTCTTGAAATTCTTCTACCTGATTCGTGGCGATTTTTTACACTCTAATTCTCCAAAACCCTCCGTTTGAACATGCGGGAGTTTCTCGGGTTTGTCCTTTTGGGAGAGTTTTCGAGTTCGAGTTCAGAGTTTCGAAGTTTCTAATTTTCCGTAAATTTTAATTTTGTTCATTTCTTGCCAGCCGTTGGATGATTCGATCGTGGGATATGATCGGACGGGCCAGATGTGTCCTGCAAGCATATTTGGAGTCACTCTGGCGGGCCCCACCCCACTAAAAACGACAAAAAGTAGTGTGATTGATGACGTGTCGTGATGTTGTAAGATCTGAAAGGTGAGCGTGACCGTATCTGATCAACAGCTGTTCAGAGTTGCAACTCGTAAGTGGGCCGAAAGCGTGCGGCCCATTATATTTCAGTCACGTGCGCAAGTATTTAAATCTATAACAGTCCTCCTATTTTACCGTCTGAAATTCTGAATTTTTTTTAACATGTATTTAAATCATCGTCATAATTTTGTTTTAAGTTAAAAATTATTTTTGTCCTAGTAATTTTATAATTCTAAATTGAGTCATGTAATTTTAAGTTTGTACCAATTTAGTCTCGAACTTTTTTTAATATGTGGGGATGAGAAATCGAACTCACAACTGGAGATATACTAGTATGATATTGACTGCTTTGAAGATATCTCTCACGGCTTTGTTTTTGGTTCCACCAAAAAGACCTATATCAATGGATTCTCCTATTTTATATACGCATGATCATCTTGTTTCCTAACCAATATAGAACTTTGTTTGTACTTCTTTTATAAACTTAACAATTCTCTCTCACCAACTATGGTGCCATAAACTTAACAATTCTCCCTCACCAGCTATAGTGCCATGTACGGTGCCGATCTTGTAATTCTACCTCTACCGATGCTCACTTTGTCACTCATCTTCTCAGTCAATCTGAAATTGGCAATTTTCGCCACCAAACAACCTTCGTCCATATCAACACGCGACAGCAAAAGTATGTTATATGGTTTGACATCGCAGTGAATGAATCTACGATCATGGATGTAAGCTATTCCAAATACTATGTCTCTCGTGTAATGTTGAACTTCCAGCTCTAGCAAGTCGTTAGGTTCGAATTTTCAGAACAGTACTCCAGAAGTAAATTGTACACTTGGCTTGTCGAATCTTGTTTTGGTGATTTCATCTCCGTAACACTGAACTACGTTAGGGCAAAAGCTCAATTCATCGAGTACCTTATTCTCAAATCGAAGCGAAGATGAATGTTCCACGAATGAAGATAGGGGACATCTGAATCTAAATCGAATGCTCTAGCCAAGACAACCGAGCCGAAGCCACCTTTGATGAATTACGTATTCTAAACAAGAAAAAGATTGAAATTAAGTTGATGTCATTATATTTTCTAAACATGAAAAGATTCAAATTACGTTAATGTCATACTAAAACAACCAACATTTAACAGCTTAGTTTTTAAAATGTAAAATAAAAACTAATCAATCAGTTTGATTGTAATAAACCTTTTTGGAGTTAATTAATTGGTTTTTTAGAAAACAAATGATTTTTTTTAGTTCAGAAGTGAGAGATCTATTGACTTCGAGATTCATAGGTATCTCATCTACGAAGCTAAAAATTAGTAGGAAAAAAGTAGTTTTCATATCAATCTTTTATCGAACAAATTGATCGAGTTCGTATTGATTTTAACTAAAATTATCTGAACCAATTCACTTGTATTCTTATCTCATACATACGAATATATTCTTCAATGTATTTTCCGACTTGTAATCAGATTGATCCAATTAACTAATAAAAATCTCACAATTTCAAGAGATTTATCACTGTGAAGTGAAATGAAATCTCTTTTTCTTCCCACCAAAATGCAAGTGGAGAGATTCCATTAACCTAAAAATATGGCAATGCCTCAAATAGACAATAGAAAAGAATCATCAAATATAAGCAAATAGTGGACTCTGAGTGTGTTTTTTGAGCAAAAACAAACACTACTTTAAACTGAAAAGAGACGAACAAGTTTTTCCTTAAAAAAGAAATTAATCTAAAGAAAACAAATTTAAAGAGATATTCAAATAGCACTTAATAAGGATTAATTACAGTAATCAACCATCCACTATATAATATGGTTGTCACTTCCACAATCTACAATCAAATATAATAGTAAACTTCTAAAATATAATACGAAATAAACTAGAATTGCGCTCAATTTGAGCACTGGTTCAGGTTAAGATATATATCCCCGACTATAAACTCGGAGGTTTGAATTCCTACCCTCACATGTCGTTGAACTCAAATAAACTAGAATTGAATTGAAATGAAAAGACGTTATGAGCAACCAAATGGCTTACTTGCCTTTATTTTCTGAATGTTACTATCAACTAAGTAGTAGTCTCTTAGTAACAAATAAGTTAGTAGCTGCTGCATTAAATTCTATTCACAGTATTCCCCCCTCTGTTCTCCTAAGTAATCTGAAAAGGGAACAAAAAGAAGTTATCTACAGTTTGGACATAGATATTTCCCTTCTACCCCACTCTTTCCTCCTGTCACAATCTCAAACAACATATGTTAAAAGATCGATTCATATCACCTGTGTGTAGTTTCCATTGGCATGTTCCTTGTAAAGAAGTAAATGTTGCATTGAGATCTCGGGCTTGAGAATGCTCCAACTCAAAAGATGGATCAGACCAAGGTATCGCCTTGTCCGATGGTGAACTTGCAGAGGGGGCAGGTTGCATTTATTCGAAGCCATTTGACAATGCACCGAGTATGGAAATGGTGAGTGCAGGGAAGCATGCACAATTGAACTCCATGGACATACTGGGCAAGGCATATGCAGCATGCCTACAGATACAATAACTAGAGAGTTCACCAACTAGAAAAGAGTCCTACAATAAAGGCACTATGAAGAAAAAACCTCGCTCTGAAATGACGAATTTCAGATCATGAGGATAGACCTTGGGTTCCTATCAGTTTGAAGATAGACTTATTTCACAGAGTGGCGCGAAGGAGGAAAAAATGCATAAATTACTCCAGGAAATCTTTAGCATGGAAAAGTTTTCCATCTACTATATTAGTTTAGAACGAAGCTAAAAATAAGAACGTTTCTTACCGAGTCCTCTGGATGAAGAGTATGTTCAGTTGTATGATCGTTGAAGCCAGGCTCCAACGTCATCCCAATTTCTTGATTCTTGTCACTGTCAAATGGCTCAAGTGGGTTATCCTGGTGAAACCTGTACTTAGGAAGTGCCCTAATTTCATCTTCAGAAGCACCTTCTAGGAATGTCATGGTATAGCCGTATGCTAGAAATGGTATTATGCAGCAAACAGCAAAGAGACCAACAAATGCCATCCCGGTGCAGAAGATAATAAAGAACACATCAAAGGCTAGAAAAATCACTGCTAACCTGCAGTTAGCACCATAAGTCCATTATTTTAATATATCAAGAAAAAATACAAGACTTTCGTCAAGTCAAAACGAGAACAGAAAAGAAAAAGATAAAAGCCACCACCAAGAAACAATGCAGAACCCACGGGAGACATAACCACAGGTCCACAAGAAGAAAGTGAAAAACTATTGCTAAAAAATACTCCGATAACACGATCTGAATGTGCTGTATGGTGGTGGAGGGGAGCTAGAGAGAAAAGAGCGCATTTATCTCAAAACGATGATAGTTTTCAGCAGCATGTTTCCTAAAGTTGTATTAAGAATTGAGATCACAACATGGACAGGCATAAGATGTCCTCAAGAAATAATTCGAGAAAACTAGAAAAATCTGAATGAATTTTACGAGCTGTGGTAGCTTATCATGGAGAATGAAGTGAATACATTCCACAAACAAACTAGTATACATGCACCTACAACATTACATCATTTTCTACCAAGAGCATCTTAAGACACTGATAACCTTCCGTAAAGATCAAAGTTCAACTCTCCCACCTGTTTCGAACTAAAAAAAAAATTCTTACATCATTTTCCTGCTAAGTTATTTTATTAACTAAACCATTGATACTTTTAGCTTGAGAAAGAAAAGGGTTTCAAGACCCTAGGAGAGAGCATTTACCAGTAGAGTCGGGGAGAACCTTCCACAAGAGCTTGACCACCCATGACAATCAAATAGAATCCAAATACCCACCAGATATATGCTACCATTGTGTTCAGTGCTTCCAACCTTTTCATGGCTCTACGAACAGAAACAGAAGGGTTAATAGAAAGTTTAACTATATCAGAAAGATAAGACATCCATCTATGACGGCACAACAAGAAAAAATACACATGCAAATATCTTAACTGGTAATGATTTGCTAATAAGAATAAAATCTCCAAATACAGGAAAACAAAAAATCTAATCCAATAAATTTGAAACTAGAAGAAACTCTGTACTATAAATAAAAATAAAGGTCCCTAATCAAATTTATAACTATAGATAATAATTACTAGATTTTTTAGATGAGTGGCAACAAAATTACATTCTAAGAATAAGCTTTTAAGTAAACATGTTCTAAGTTTCTACTAGAACCATAAATATACAGTATACCATCAAATTTGTTAATAATCTCTCCCTTATTATTAATGGTCGAATTCTACAAAAGTTCCTGTTAGATGCAAATTAATCCAACATTCTAAAAATACAATTTATGAATTAACTTGGAAAATGATGCTCAATTTAACTGACTATCAAAACATAGAGTCCCTTTTCCATTAAACTAAAAGAACTCCATCCATCAAGTTAGCGTTAAACCTAAAAGAAAACCATAAGATAATCGATCAACCATTTAAGGAAGATCAACAACCAATACGGAAAGATGTACCCACCAATCCAACAACCCGAGTAGCATCTTCTTTTTTTTTTT